ATAACATATAATTTCCTCTTTCAGACTACGGACATACTCTATTATGAAGTATTGGATATCCCTCTCCCGGAGTTGCAAGGCCTTAAAACTTTAAAAGTTGCTTTACATCATGCTACCAAGGATGAAGTGAGTGAAGATAGAAACAGAATCATTAATTATTTAATATGTCAAGAATGTTGCCTCTTAGAAGCACTTTTATGTTGTCAGGTTGTGGTTCACACTATTAGATTACCCAAGCAGAGCACTGTAGGGGACGTGATTGATGACCTTAAGACAAAGGTAATTAGTTACTTTGCAGCTTTTCACCTTAAGACAAAGCATGGACGCGATAATGGATATGAAACAAAAGTGTCATAATTCGTGGTTGAGATTTTTTCACTTTTATTTCTTTGTCTATATGTGTTGTACAGTTTCTGTTTTATTCTCAAAGCAGTATTTCAACGAACATTGTAAGAAAAACACTTATGTATATCCTTTCTCTATCTGGAACAGGTGGAGTTGTCTCATCCTAATGCCGAACTCAGACTGTTGGAAGTTTTCTATCACAAAATCTACAAGGTATTGGATAATGTGCATATAGATGTTGTCTATGAACATAATTATATGTTATGTCCCTTAAATTTCATAGAGAAGAGATTGGTACCCCCAAAACAATCAATGCCCCACCTCGCCTCAAAATAATTGTTTTGCAGGAGTTGCTCTCTGTTGCAGCTGCATGAATCTATTGTTGTTTCTTTGATCTGAAATTTTGAAACCTTTTAGAATCGGTTCATTTATGTAATTCTTATATTGTTTTACAGATTTTCCCGCCAAATGAAAAGATTGAGAATATAAATGATCAATACTGGACATTACGTGCAGAAGAGGTTAGTCTGCACAGTATTGAGTTAATAATGACCCTATGTTCCAGTCCTTCGTTTTATAATATGTTAGAAATATTTGTTTTACACTTTTGCTGTTAAACTGTTATTCTTGTCTGTTACTCAGATCCCTGAAGAAGAGAAAAACTTTGGTCCTCATGATCGTCTGATCCATGTTTATCATTTTATGAAGGACACAGCTCAAAACCAGGTAGGAAGATATAATTACCTCCCGATTTTATTGTTCTCCCATTTTTTTTTTTCTCAGAATCAATAGGTTCTTTAAGTATTTATTATCATTGCCATCATCATCATCATCACCACTTTGTTATTTATAATTTTGAATTTAGCAGGTTCAGAATTTTGGAGAACCATTTTTCTTGGTCATTCGTGAGGATGAGACATTAGCGGAAGTTAAAGTGCGTATACAGAAAAAGTTACAAGTCCCAGATGAGGAGTATTCAAAGGTATTTTCTTCATTACAGAGGACATTGTACTGAGGTTGATGCAGTTTCAGAGTAGTGGCCATTTGTGAAATCCCTACTTTGAATTGTAATATATTGTTTCTGGTTTGGTGCAGTGGAATTTTGCATTTTTGTCCATGGGTCGTCCTGAGTACCTGCAAGACGATGATATTGTGGCCAGCCGATTTCAGGTCTCTCTCTTTCTCTCTCTCTCTCTCTCTCTCTCTCTCTCTCTCTCTCTCTCTGTGCATCCGCACACTCACAATATACTATCCGAAGTCTAATTTGTATGGAAATTTTAATTCTATTCTTCAATATCATTTTTCAGAGAAGGGATGTGTATGGAGCATGGGAACAGTACCTTGGATTGGAACACACTGATCATGCTCCTAAAAGGTCACATACAACAAATCAGGTATTCCTTTGAACTTAACTATATTAACCTGACTGACGCACACTCGGTTGAAAACCCAAGAGGTGAACTATTAGGAAAATGGGCTGGTTTTATGTCTTGGTAAATATTATACAATTGACGCTCAGCCCAGGATCGCTCTCAATTTCTTTACAATGATTCTTAGTAGAAATTTGCGTGGGACTGGTTGTACAGGAGGTAGCTATTAGGCATAAGGGATGCAGAAAACATTGTTGCATTATTTTACGCTCTTTAGAGGCCGAACCCAGAATTTGTTTAAGATTCCGATGTTTTAAAAAAATTGCTGTTGTGGGAAAGTAGTTTATAATTAGTTTTTGTCAATCCTGTGCTGACTCCACTTGAATTATGCAGAATCGTCACACCTTTGAGAAGCCGGTGAAAATCTACAACTAAAAAGCATGGCGATGACTTTGTCAACTCCTTTCACAGATTCAACCTCATATACATATGCAGAGTCTTGTGAAGAGTCCGAGAATAACAAAGGAAGCTTTTCTTTAATTTGGCAATGGTTATTGATCTTACTGGGCATACAATTCTTTAGCTAAACTGTGTATCCTCGACGTTTCTGACTTGTTGAAGGCACCCGTATTTGAGGTGTGAGGTAGGAGGCATCTCATTTGAATCGCTGTAATGCCGTATATAAGATTTTGGGGTGAGCAATGTACAGAGGGTATAGGTTTGCAGGTTTAAATGCAGTTTCATCGTCCTGTTCCAGTATGTTGGATCTTTTTGCGTGCATGCATGATGGAAGCTCTGTATAATATTGGATCTTCAACTTCCTGCTGGTGTTCTTTACTTATTTTTCTGTTGGATTTTAGTGTATGAAAATAATTAGCTGTAGTTACATTTGTCCCAACCTGTCTGTTTTTGCCAATTCTTGATTGGATTTGGTGGAAATCCATTTGAAGGTGGATGGGGTAGTAAGACACGAGAGTGATGATATCAACACTCTTAATGAGTTGAAGTTGATCTTTTTTTATTACAACGATGTATTTATATTAAGGGAACATATAAGATGTCTACTTTTTCAAATTTCCCTTCAAATAGCCATCAACATTATCTCATTCCCAAGCCTTTTATGGCACTCTGGCCACAATAAAATTTGTCGCCTATTCTAGTCACTAAAGCTCTAATTCATTTAACTTTGGTTTCTGCTGATCAAGGAGTTCTTCTCTTCTAGGACCCAAACAAGCATTAGTATATTACGACTTTTGTGAACATTTAGTTAAAATATCGTCATTTAGTATCACGATTTAATGATATTCTCTTTTATTTATAAGTGAGAGGTTTTATGTACAAATCTTGTACATATCGAGTTTGTAACCAATTTATTTCACTTCCTTAGTGTATAAATATTCTTGTTTTCAAAACCCAATTATCACAACATTCGATTACTTTATCCCTCACCTCAATAATTTTGTTTTATTATTATTTATTAGGGAAAATTTGAAATAGGTCCAATTTTATAGACTACCTTTTGAAATAGGTCCAATTTTTAGTGACTTTTGACTTTTGAAATAGGTCTAATTTTTAGTTACTTTGGACCCATTTCAAAAAACCCCTTTATTATTATTATTATTATTATTATTATTTTGGTGTTTTATTTTATTACAAACGTTTTGGGAAGGTAAAACAAGCCTTTTTTGGTGTGTGTTTGTTTTTTTTTTGTTTTGGGGGGGGGGGGGAGGTTAGTTTTTTCTTTCTTTCAAATGAGCTACTTTAGGAGAATCAACAAACCACATCAATAATTTTATTTATTTATTTTTTTTTTTTTTTGTGTTTTATTTTTTGTACAAACGTTTTGGGAAGGTGAAACAAGCCCCTTGCTGAAGAGAACAACTTATTTGGCACAAATATTTGGTTTTATGTCAATGAAACAATGACATGTGGATAAACTTATGTATTATTTTATTGGGATTTTCTAACTTTAATCATTGAAGAAGATTGGAATTTAAAATAAACTTGGTGTTAGATTACAAATTGATTATAGTCCCTTGATGTGTCCTTAATTTAAAATAATTAATGTGTATTTTATTCAATGTCTCCCAATAAATATTTAAATGTACTGATATACACATTTTAATATATTTTTTGGCCAAACAATTTTTTTTTTAAATTTATTAATTTTATTTAACATTCTTCAAACTTGAAAAACTCAATTAATGTACCTAAATATTAGTACCGAAATGTATTATATTGAATTAATGTATTTAAATGTTAGTATCGAAATATATGTATCTAAATGTATGCACTGAAATGTATTATATTAAACTTATGTACTTAAATGTGTGTATTGAAATGTATGTACCCAAATGCATGTACTAAAATGTATTATATTAAACCAATGTACCGAAATGTATTATATTGAATTAATGTACCTAAATGTTTGTATCAAAATGTATGTATTGAAATGTGTATACCTAAATGTATGTATCGAAATGTATTATAATGAATTTAATATACCTAAATGAAGAAGACAAATTATATCGAAATATATTGTAAAATAAAAATTAGTTTATCTAAATGTTTACAACAAAATATATTACGATGAATGAAATGAAAATTATAATTATAATGAAATAAAATTAATACATTAAAATTAGGAAGAAAAAGAGAAATAATTAAAAACATCAAAAATATAATTAATAAATGAAGTTATTAATGTCTCAAGGGACTAAAATTAGATTTTGATCTTACTCATGATTTTAGTCTAAAAGTCATATTTGCTAAGGATTAAAATGAAGTTTCTTATTTATTACCATCTGACACTATCGTGACGGTATATTTGTGTCATATAAGTCAGTTTCCTTGTAGAAGCATCTTAAACTTAATTTTGTTTTTGAACAATACATGGGTTTACAAAATTGTGTAGGAATTCTTCTTCAAAACATTCATGACAGATTAACAAAATTTCATGTATATGATCAGAATCGTTCATATTATAAGTTACTGTATAGTAATCATTGATGTAAACATACTTACAAAGTGATTTAATATGAACGGTTCTAATCATAAGCATGAAGTCCTCTAAATCAACCACAGTTTTTTGAAGAGAAATCCCTTCAAAATTTTGTAGAGTTAGCATTGTTGTTTGTTTCATTGGGAAACAAGAAAAAAAAAAAAAAAGAATAAAAGAGGATGAAACAAGGGGTTGAGGTAGGTAGGCAGTGTGCAACGTGGTCTTACAAAGCAACACATGTTCATGGGTTATCTAGTAGCCATTCAAACTTCCGAAGACGCCCGATGTGATGCATAGCCAACAAACCAGTGGCCTAGAAGGCAGGAACATGTAGCCAAGCCAGCCATAACCCCCGGAAAACGAAAAAGCATTTAGCTACCCAGTAGATATATGTGTGTGTGTGTGTGTGAGAGAGAGAGAGAGAGAGAGAGAGAGAGTAGTTTAGAACAAATTAAGACTGATTAAATAGCTAGAAAGTGTCCTCTAATCCACCATTAGCTGTTCGATTACAGGAGTTTGGTTAAGATTAACTATGGTGATGAGTAGTATGTCGATAATCTCGGCACTTATTTTCCCACCACCTCCTTCTATTTTCATGACAGCAATGTCAGTGATTAGCTTCACGTCATTAGCAAATGCTGGGATTTCAGAGATCAGAGGAAAGCACATGCAGTATTCCAAGTTCCGGAATTTCAATAATCCTCAAAATTTTGCACCAAAACTTGAAAAGCAGCAAGAAGTAGTAACATTGTCCGGTAGAGCAGGAATGCTCGTTGCTTATACTCCCGCCTTCGTCGCTGCTTTCACATCCTTACTGTTTTTTCCCCATCAAGATGTCAGATCTCTACTGCTCTCTTCAGCTCTAACCCTTCATTTTCTCAAAAGGATTCTTGAGGTACGTACATACGTAATGTGTATATGTGTGTAATATATACATATATATAATATAAGTATGTGCATGTACATGTATAGGTTCAATTTATTCACAAGTATAGTGGAGGAATGGGCGTTGATACAGCAATTCCAATCTGTCTGAGTTATTTGTTGTCGACTGGAAGCATGATTTATGGTCAACACCTAAGCAGCCAAGTGCTAGGGTTTCCAGAGCCGGCAATTGATTTGAAGAGCGCCGGCATCGTCTTGTTTGTAATAGGAATTTCTGGCAACTTGTACCATCACTACCTTCTTTCGAAGATGAGGTCGAAGCCAGGTGAAGAGAAGGAGTACAAGATTCCCAATGGTGGTTTGTTTGAGCTTGTTATATGCCCTCACTATCTCTTTGAAATCACAACATTTCTTGGGGTTTCTTTCATTTCTCAGACTCTCTACGCCTTCTCCTTCACCGCGGGAACCGCCCTCTACTTGGCCGGAAGGAGCTATGCTACCAGGAATTGGTATCGTTCCAAGTTTAAAGATCATTTTCCCAATACTCTTAAGGCTCTCATTCCATATGTTTTCTAATTAAATTCATGAGTAAATATTTTTTTGATGAGTATTGTTGACGCACAAAATTGGATCAATCTTGGACCAACTTAGATATAATTGCAAATTCCACAAATACACAAGAATACAATGATATATCATGGTTCACCTCGAGTTGAGACTACATCGACGTTGATGCAGTTTTTGTTTCTACTATGTAAATGTAGGTTACATTGGATAAGGATGCTTGTTTTTTAAGAGAGTAAAGTCGTTAGTGGAGATGTCACTGTCCAAATTTGATATAAAATCATTCCAATTGAAGTGTTATTTGCTGACTAAATTTGAATTCTTTGTGATTAGGAGTTAAATTTGATATCAACACCAAATTTATTTTTGATTAGTTTAATTGTGAATCTCTTATTACACTAGCATTTCAGCCAATAAAAATTGTATAACAATTTTTTTTAATAAATGTAACCATTTAAAACCCTAAATAATAAGAAAATAATATTTGGCAATTTGGTTGGAGAAAAATAAAATTTGACGTAAGACTTCAGACCAATTATAATTTGACACTTCCATTGGAGATGGTCTAAGGGGTTGTTTTATTGTCATCTCATGTATTGTTGAATACAAAATATCTTATCTTAATATGCAACTGGTGGATTATATTGGTATATACGACATGCCTTGGTATTTGTGGCCTTCTCTTTTAAGGCAGTGCGTCATGGTTTTAAACTGGACTTGGAAAATGGATTGTGTTTGTTGTGTATGTTGTGTCATACTCATTTTCTTAACCGATCTTGTCATCTCAAATTCGTTATCTTAGCATGTTCGTAACATGTGACCTGATAACGATCAACTCGTTAATAGATTGATTTTGAACCTGTTATTTTCATGTCGTTTCGTGTTGGGTTAACAGGTCATACAAGAAATTGTCGTGCCTATTGTCTAGACTTGAAAAAACAAGCCGTGTTGCCGTTTTCGTACCATACCTGTTATCTTAACAGGTTCCGGATGGTGACCCGATAATGACCAAATTTGTTAATGGGTTGAATCAAAGTATGTTATTTTTGCGTCGATTCGTATCAGATTAACAAGTCGTGCAAGAAATTGTCAGGCTTCATTCAAACCGTCCTCCTCACTTTAGTCTAAACTAGTACATATATATATATGTGTGTGTGTGTGTGTGTGTGTACATATATATATATATATATATATTGTGGAACATGTCGGATAATCCTATGCCCTTCTTTAACGAGCTTCTATTTCTGTACATGTCACATCATTTATAGAACTAGCTCCTTCAGTACTCGTTGATGGATCTACTCTAGTACAATCCCTTCTCAACAAAAATGCAGGTTGTGTTGGGGAAGGAACTGTTGCCTCGTTACCTAGCATGAAAACAACTGCCGACATGGTTGGCCGGTCAGCAGCAAACTCTTGCACACACAAGAGGCCAATTTGGATGCATCTCGCAACTTCGTTGACATGGTACGATTCGCCTATGGATGGATCAACAATTTCCAAGGCATTGCCTTCTCTCCACAAATCCCAAACCTAAAAGAGTTTTGAAAAAATCAACCAAGCATGAATAAAGTAGGGAAAATCATTGTTTACAAATAGGTTATAGTTAGCTTACATATCCAACCAAATTTGAGTGGGGATATTTTTTGTGGTAGTAACCAGAATTCCTTCTGCCAGTTATGATTTCTAGCAATAAAACACCAAAACTGTACACATCAGATTTTACTGAAAAAATTCCTTCCATTGCATACTCCGGTGACATATAACCACTGCATCAATATAAAGAGATCATGGTGAGATTTGTACTCGGAAGGTGGAACTATTAACCTATTATTTTGGTAAGCTCTAGCCAATTTATATCTTCAATTTTGATGAAATTTAATTAACTTACTATGTTCCGACCACACGATGTGTATTTGCTTCAGATTGGTCCCTTAGAAATATTCTTGCCATACCAAAATCTGCTATTTTAGGGCTCATAGATGCATCCAGTAGAATATTACTGGCCTTTAGATCTCTATGGATAATCCTTAATCTCGAATCTTGATGAAGATATAAAATCCCTCTAGCAATCCCACAGATAATCTCAAAGCGTTTTGTCCAATCTAGAAGATTTTTTTTCGTTTCATCTGAATATAGTAAGAAGTTGAAACCAAATCAATTCTTGTTAACTTTAGTTTCAAAACGAAATTAAAGGAAAAAAAAATAAGAAGACATACCAAAAATAAAAGAGTCCAAACTTTTGTTTGGTACGTATTCATAGATTAGCATCTTCTCTTCATCTTCAACGCAACAACCTATAATCTTGACAAGGTTCCTATGTTGGAGTTTCGCAATTATCACAACTTCATTCTTAAACTCTTCAATTCCTTGACCAGAATTCTTCGATAGTCGTTTCACCGCTATTTCCTTTCCATTATGAAGTACACCCTGGAAGTATAATCCAAGCACTTATGTTACCATTCATTTTTAAAGGTATCAAACATGAATTGCATGTTTGTTGCAAGCTTCTATGTTAACCTGAAGTTATGCATCCTTCGGAAAGTTATAGAAGCTAACTACCTTATAGACTGAGCCAAAACCTCCTTTCCCAAGCTTGTTCGCTACAGAGAAATTGTCCGTGGCGGCTGCGACGGTTGTTTGATCAAAGAATTGTAATTCTGAGTTTATTTTACTTTGATCATCGAGATCTGTTCTATCTTCCATGAAAAACATATTTTTTCTCTGCCTGCCTGCTGTGATGAAATACATAATTAAATAAACAATGCAATGTTATAGCCTTTTGGTCATAATAAACAAACAGTATTGCACGACACTACAAGAAAACTTACAATAACCGTTGGCATTAGTTGTACAGAATAGAGTGAGTAAAAGCCCTCATAGTATACCCGCCCAGTAGCCACTAATAAGTCTTTTACCATCTCAATTCTTACAACTAATGTTAGAGACTGTAGTCGTTTATTGTAGTGTTGATGTAATAGAGACCGACACAAGAGGGATACTAATTAAGATAGAGAAGCAAAATTTATTTACCTTTGCTCTTCCTCCTTACCAACCAACACAAAAGAAAAACCAGGCCAAGGAACGCAAGAGCAGATAAAAGTGAAATTGCCAGCCTTGCCTTCTTGCTAATTACAGAACCATTTGCAAATTGAGCTACAAGGATATAAAATAAAAATAAAAAACCAACGAATTCAACAGTTGTGAACTGTAAACAGTAGCAAATCACTATAAAAAATAAAGAAAAACTATGGGGTTTTATCATGTGCGAGATAATTGTAGGATGTAATTAGCCAGGCGGATCATGGCAAAGTATAGCCGGGCAACTACTATCCAACAAGATTTGTCTTGTATTAGAGAAATTACGGTAGAAAATGTACAATACAAAATATTGTGAGAATGAAAAATAAAGTGACTACCTAGAGTAACTGCATCAACTCGTACATACAAGTCCTGCCCAACATTTGAAAAAGTTCTTGTGTCCATCAAGTCCCCGTACCACGTCACGCAACCCATCCCTCCTCCCCTTTCATCTGCACGCGCGTATGCCATGCAAGAACAATTCTTCATGCACTCTTGCTCACACCCTTTCAGACTCAAACTCATATTCACACGTGCCTTAGATGAGTCGGGTACCTTCGCACGTGCCACCTTAACAAACCCTTCCCCTTTTTGGCATGTAGACGCTCCCAATTTTCTCAGGCATCCACCCAATCCATCTCTCAGATACCAATCCTGGGTGAACTTGGGTTCAAATCCGGGCAGACAAAGGCAAGAGAAGTTGTAATTACTGTATGGGTCGCAGTTACCATTTGGACCACACTGTCCATAGTAGTCACACCACTCACTAGGGCTAGAGCTTACTTCGATCCAATTGTTTTCTTGATCTCGCCATACGAACCGTTTAACAATTCCTGATTCATCTAGCACCCCCCTTGTGAATACTGAGCCATTTGGAACAGTAAACATCATATACATCTCATCTTTATTGTTCACAAAGCTGCGGACACTATTAATTGTAAATTCGGGGACCCCGCTAAATCTCTGGCCGGTCCAAGTTCCGCCTCGAAACCATTTAGTTTGACCCTTGAAAAGCATCAACTGCGGAAACCCGGTTGGGTCAATCTCATACGAAAAATTCCCTGATCCGGGATCATCCTGGGACTTCCGAGATCTTAAGCGCCTGTTCAGCCCTGACCGCCGGTTCAGCCCAATCTTCATTAATGGAAGCAGTGTATCTGAGGGGTAATCAAAGCCTTGCCACAGCACCCTTGGGCTACTACCATTGTTCTCAAGCAATACAAGATTTCCCGTATCCAAAAGTTTGGCTATTACGGAATTGTTTGGCGAGGAGACTGTGACATTAGCAGACCAAAGAGGGGTATTTTGGTCCTTCCCATAAATGACAAGGCCTCCATGATCTCCATGAATAGCTAGGAGCCCAGTTCCAGCAATTGGAGTTATGGGGTTGTCTCTGTTTGCAATCCAGACGATTGTTTGGATTGGAATATTGTTGTACCAAACTCCGATGTAACGGTTATGTGAATTGCCTGGGCTAAAAAACCCTAGTGCAAAGATTTTAGTGGCGGAGAGAAGAACGTCGCCGTATCTTAGGGGTTGGTTTGGTGTAATGGCGTCTAGGGCAACAGAAATGGAGGAGGGAGGAATCACAAGGAAGATAAGCAATCTAATTATGACAAAAAAGAATTTAGTAGAATTCATGGTTAGTTTCTCAGGGGTTGATTAAATGCTAAAAAGGTTGCTTCTTTTAATGGCAAGCAGAAACAAAAAGCCCGAAAGGTTGGATTTTATTTTTCTCTGGAGATTGCGCAACGCTAAAGGCTTCCAGTTGTTGGATTCACACGCAAATTCCTTTCATACATGTCGAAATCTCCACTTCATTAATTCTGACCACACCCCAGTTGTATCCAGTAGATTGATAAGGACAATTTTCTAATTGACGTTTCTGTGCATGCGAATGAACGGCAGAGCTAACTAACTTGGCTCCGAAAGGGACCAATTGGGAAAGTTCTAGGATTTTTTATTTGGCGTGCGAAGAATCACAGCAGCCAAAACCTAGATGAAAAGTCTTACCTGCTTCGTATGCTATGCTGAAGTTTGATGACCCCAAACCTCTCATTCTTAAACACTAATTGATGTGAATGCGTCTGTTAGCTTTCAAGTTTCCACCATAGTACGTCGTCTCACAATTGACAGAATTAGCTAACTAGTCCAAGTATAAGATCTCTTCAATTACCTTGCAAATTCGCAATCGTAACCAATAATTATGGTGCCTTACATGTCCATGCACTCGAAATATCTTAAAAGAGTTCAACTTTAGCGATGTCACATCATTTAAAGAATTTTCTCCTTCAGTGGTGGATGATAGGGTTTTTGCATGTGGTCTAATATCTTAGTAGATAGGATGTTAGATTTTCACTTAAATTGTGTCTTAGGTTCGAAGTTGCGCCCTCCCCTAAATTGTTGGCTAGTTTCAAATTCTCCCCTCCCTTTAATAATAATTAAAAAAAAAAAAAAAAACTGGGTGATGGATCTCCACTGTTATAACTCTGATGCTAGTTGTTTTGGTGAAGGAGCTGCTTCTTCATTACTTAGCATGAAAGCAACCGCCGACATTTTTGGCTGGTCCATGGCATACTCTTGCCCACATAAGCTGGGAAATTTGGACACATATCAGAACTTGGTTGACATGGTCCCAATTCACCTAGAGATGAATCAATGATTTCCAAGGCATTGCCTTCTCTCCACGAGTTCCAAACCTAAAACAAATTTAATAGCTAGTTGATAAAATCGTTTATACATGTTACTGCAAATGCATGGACAGGGTGGTTTCTTCTTGTATTCCTGTGTTGTGTTGTATTATCTTGTGGTCATACAATAATCTTCTGGTTAACTTGACGTATCCCCATGTCTGTGTCCATGCATCGTAGCTGCAAACTGTTAAATCCCCTAATTATCTCCATATCCGTCAGCACTCACCATGCTCATTACTTAGTTGACTGTTATTCTTAGTATGGTCAACTCTAGGTGACTATTTGTGAATACTCTGTATCAAGACGGGGAAACAGGGGAACAGGGGTACACTTTTTTCGGTTATTAACCGATATACATTCTTTGTACTAAACTCGGATAACCAAAGAGGAATCAACATTCTACCAAAAATTACAACCAAGACCTTTTTTTCTTCACTTAGAGCAGTTCCATCGTGGGCTATTGCTCGGTGGACTGCCTTTGGAAGAGGGCCAGACAACCCGATGGAGATGGTCCAGCGTGTGCTGGTGATGGAGCCCGAGCGGGCTCGAGGGAAAGGCCCAGCACGAGTTGCCAGCCAGAGAGCTTGAAGGCAACGTGACAGAAGGTTGACGTCAGGGTGACATCAGCCATCATCTCCTCTGCATTTTTGGGCCTCAACCTTACAGCTACTCGACCTTCATCGTCCTTGGAAGCTACGGAGAGGATCCTCTCCAGACCCAAACCCACCAAAGCCTCCGAATCCATCTTCTTTAAAGGCCAAGTCAGCATTGTGGGCTTTCCCAGGGTCGACGTCTTGCTTTCTCGAAGCCAATGTCGTGACTTCCTCGGTGATGGTTGTCGAAGAAGATGCATAATTGAAAAAGAGTTTTCCGATAAACAAACAAAGAAGGAAGAAGGAAGTGAAGAAGAAGATGCATAATTGAAGAAGAAGAAGTAGAACCAAATCTGTAGAGAAGAAGGAAGAAGGAAATCTGCAAATAAGAAGGAAGAATGAGGAGGATCCGGAGATAAATTAATAATCTAATATTAATTTATACAAAGTAAATAATATAATATTAATTATAAAAAAAAAATACTCATATTTTATTACCTATTGCCAAGGCTATTTAGTGTAGGGGTGGAAATACAAAAGTCAGTTACTGTTCACTGGATGGATTAAATAGTGAATAGCTCGAGGGGGCATTTGCAACGGTAGAGTTGCTCTTAAGTTTGGTAACACATGACATTACAAAAGACAATGGCAAGAAATTTTTATTTGAATACAACATACAACTTAGGTCATTAGCGAGCTTCAACTGCATTTATTGTTAAGTCGTTTATCGAACAAATTTCTCTTTTTGACGCTTCTGAGTTTGGATTTCTGGATTGTAATATAAATGCAGGTTTCTTGGGACAGGGAAGAATTGTTTCATTACTCAACATGAAAAACAACTTCCGACATGGTTGGCCTATCCGATTCAATTTCTTGCACGCAAAGTAGACTGATATGGATGCATCACGAAACCTCATGTGCAGGATATGACTGATCCAATGATGGATCGACTATACCTAATGCTTGCTCCTCCGTCCACATATCCCAAGTCGGATGCAACACAAACTGGAAATTACGCCCGCGAGTTGCTGCGGAAACCAGTTGTTTCAGGCGTAATCGGATGAATAAAACACATTTTAGTTGAATAAATTCAACACAATTATGAACAAACAGAGATATACATGAGTGAATAAGGTTGATAAGATAATCAATTTTGCTTTTATATACATTTAAGTAAGCTGGCATATAAAGACATTCTACAATGAGTGGGAAGAAATTGAACGTCTTTGATTAGAAAGAGATGGTTTCCAAAAAAGTTATGAAAGAGATGGTTTCCAAAAAAGTTATGTTCATTAAGAAACAGAAGAAACATGTAGTTCACACATATAATGTGTCCTGAAAGCCAAGGAGATTACAATGATTTTAGTCTGGTGTAAGCAAACCTGATAGACTACAACTGATGCATACAATCCAATTAAAATGTTCATGAAAACTGCCAACACGATACTTGAAACAACCACAATTAGCCACAGAATGATTGTCAAACCAGCAATAAGGATGCAAGCTATTTCAAGAAATGGACCTTCTGGAGTAATCAGATCATGAGTCAGTCGATACCAGCCTTTAAGCAGCATATAGGGACTCTTTACAACAGCAATTACTGTCACATCCCAGTACCGGCTCCGCTGCAGCACGATATTCATTCACATTCTCAAATAGCCAAAACATATATACCCGTAAGAAAGCAATGGAACAATATACCCATTAAAAAAGTCACAAAAAGATTTGCAGAAACTTTCCCAACTATTATAATTATATGGCATATCCAGACTTCAAATTTGATAGAGAAGCTAATTGTTCAAACAAAATAATGATAGAGAAATTATTAACTGTGCCATGCAATTTTCAACAGGAAAAAAAAATTTCAAATACTATGTCTAACCACAATTCACAAAAGCCATTTTCCTAGAAAATTGGTTAATCAAAATAATGTACGAATATTTATTAGTGACATGCTATAAAATTGCAACAGTAATCGGGCTTCTTAACTGAAAAGAAAGAGGTCAAAATTTCACAAAGAAGAAAATAATCCTGGCTATAAAGAGTGTAGAAATGTTCAACCATGACACGACCTTATATTATTCCATAAGCCAACTTAATATCAATCCACAAAGTGGAATTATAATGCTTGCTTGCCACAGAGGGCATGCTACAATGAGTGAGCTGCGGCACTTAGCAGCTATCTACATACCAGAATAAGGGTTTTGGAGATGATAGCAGCTTTCGGAAAGACTCAAAATCAAAGATTGACCTGGAAAATGTGAAATAATCAAGTGAAATTAACATTGTCCTGATAATAAGCTAAGAAAATCATATTCATCATAAATCGGTAACCAAAGTCACAAAGGAGGATTCCTCTCACAGTTAAGGACATGTTTTTGTTGTAGCTAGGTATTATCGTAGGAATAAACCAACAGCACCATAAGTAAAGTAGCAGACCAAGTTTTTTTTTTCAGAATTGATGTCGCAACATGTTTGTTTAAGTAGCGAAGAGATTACAACACATCCATAAGCTGATGACTCCCTCTCCGGTTTACCGCATCATTCTTAATGTATTCAACAATGCATCAGCAATTAAAAGTCCTTGGAAAATGCCAAGCTACTATAAAGACATGACGAAAACTATATCTCACCTTACCCCCTTGTTGGCATAGACAGCATATCCGTCCTTGTTGTTCGGGGCGAAATAATCCTGAACTCCATTATCATCATCGTCGAGAATGTCAAACTGTAAATCAACCCTGCATGAAACAAAACTTAGAAATTAAACAATTATCAAAGCTTGTGAAGAATGCTAAATCCAACTAGTTCGACACATAAAGTAACCCAAAAGAGCCCGAAAGATAGAAAACTTATAAATTCTATACAAATTATAATCCTTAACAGAAGGATGGAACAAAACAGGTTCATTCTTGAGAACAGATGTAATTTTGCACATTGCATATATGTAGATTAAGGATGGTGATAACATACCTTGTAATTTGTACAAAATTAGGATTTTCATTCAAAGAACTATAATATACACAATTACAAAAAAAGTGATTCAAACTTGTTCTTCTCTTAAGGAAATTACTCACAGTTGAAATTCTGAATGGAAGAAGTTTTGGCTTTCCTTTCCGGCTATATTTGATTAACTGGGAACCTTTTTTTAATGCAATGAGTGCCTTCATGAGAGAGAGAGAGAGAGAGAGAGAGAGAGAGGAATATTAGGTGAAAAGTATTGCCAAATCACACAGAGATCAAAATCTTGAATATATATGTTTAACCATATCAAAGTGAGTGTGTGAAAGGGTGTAGTCTGCAGAAAGGGCAACATTTTCACCGCTAGGAAGTTGGAAACTAAACTTTTACACAGTTATTGGATTTTATTTATTCCCTTCGCGAATTGAAAAGCAAATTGTTCGAGTAACGCAGGTAAATTCGATATATGTATGCGTTACTCTACGTAAGACGATTATAAGTTATAACTATTGCGTCTTAACACAAAAATGATCATAAATGTAAGTGTCCGTATTACGGAAGTAAGGGACTTACAGTAATTGCTATGAGCTCTAACAGCAGTCACTCCAAGTATTGTATTACGAAAGTAAGGGACTTACATCAATTGCTATGAGCTATACCAGCAGTCCCTCAAAGTGGTGTAAGGGCTAAAATTATAAATAAGAAGTAATTTAAACAGTTTAACTTAATAAATTGTAATTTAAACAATGCTTATGTATTCAAACATCCCAAAACAGGAATGAACTTCCAAAAAACATGCGCACGAAAATAAACGGCATTACTCACCCATTGAGTTGGACCATCAAACTGGAGCGTTAGAAGGATCATCATGTACCTATGAAACCCAAAGGAAAATCTTAGCAACCCCAAAGTCTGTATGCAAGCGTGAATAAGTATGCGTGTATGAATCTATTCATAGTGAAGAAGACTACCTTAAGAAATATTTGCATCTGCAGCTTCATATGGTCATACAATGAAAAGCACCACATATGATAAAAAACCCCAGCTGCACCACAAAAGGAATATGATCTTCCTCTCAACTTGTATTTGCAGTTGTTATTGTAACATCTGCAGACAGCATACATAAGCACTAATTTGATAATTCTAAAGAAAAAAAGCTCTTATTCGATAATGCACCAAATTTTATCCAAAAAACAAAGGGGTGACATATCCCTAGATTAACAGAGCATCTTTCTTTGTTCCAAAACAAATTGCAATTGGCTTTGGTAAAGTAGAAAGATTACCAGATATCTCGGGCATAATCTCGACTCTGTTCCATTATTCAAGCATTTTACTGTCCTTTTAGATCTATCTCTCAACATGGGAAATACAATAAGACAGTAAAAACAAAAGTTAGTGATAGCTATTACATAGTGAAAGAAAATAAGACATTCACATAGTGATAGCTATTTACTATCCTTTCTCATCATAATCTCGACTCTATTCCATTATTTGAGCATTCTACCGTCCTCTTAGTTCTACCATATGTGAATGTCTTCATACATGTCAGCATATATATATATATATACACACACACACACTGAATTTTGAAAGCAATGAGAGAAATATACCTTTGGGGCATCAATGCCAGAAGGGTGAGTGAGGGATCTAAGATGTTTGAGAGTAGGAGTTTTTGAGCAATTTGTGCGAAAAAGTTGAAGAGCTTCAAATAGAGTTGAGTGAGTCGGCTTAGGCTAAAATAAAGAGGATGAACTCTAGAAAGTAGAAAATGTTGTTGTTCAACCAAAGTCAAAAGTAAAGAAACTGTACTATTAACATATAAATAAGTTTTATATATCAATGTTTACATGTACGTTGTTTGAGAAGGTAAATTAGCAGCATATACAGTGATCAAAAGATTAACAGCAATAAACTGCTCATTATTCGAAATATACATGAAAGTTGTCATTCACATGATCCAAATGATAGTTAATGCAGAGGACAAAACAGAAGGAAACAAATATTATAGCGGCATAAGTTGAATAATTGCAGCAAGCAAACAAATAGAAGACTCAAAAACTGGAAATGAAAGCAGGTAACATTGAGTTTTAATAACCAAAAAGGGATCTTGTTTAAGCAACTCCACAACAGCATTTATACTTGGATGATTGAGCTGCAAAAACAGAAAAGAAAACACAAATTAAACTAAAAAAAATATAGAATTTAACACTAATCCAAGGATTAAATATCAAATATAAAGTCATTAGGATTGGGACGTTTGCATTGAGGAATATCTACTACATTATGAGTTCCCTCCCGACAAAGCCCAATTAGGGGGTTTTCCAGTGAGCCATGAACAACTAACTTCAGCGACACTGCCATCCCCACTAACACCAAACCCAGATAATCTCAAGATCAAAACTAACCAATACCAGAAAGATATTTCTTTTTAATTAAAATTTAAGAAAAGGCCTAAATTTTACAAAATTAAGGGGGAAAAAAAAGAGTTAAGTAATGCACCAATTTGCAACTGTCAAAAGTGAAATCTGAGACTCCAACTGTCTTGAAGAACTCCGTTGCCTCATCGACGATGACCGGACGGTGGAGATTGAACTGGTGTGTACACCTAGAGCACCTGATTATACACAGAACAGAAAACAAAATTTAAATCAAGTCGAACAATAATTATGAGAAAATAAACTAAAAGGGATCTGAGCTGAGAGTTACCATTCGAAGTGTGGGCAGTGGAGGGCGCAGGTTAGCGACGGCAGAGGAGGGGTTGAGCTAGGGCTCAGTGAGAGAGAAGGTAGTGCTAAAGGCATTATTTGTTAGCCAATCATATAATAGCCACACCACTTTTCTATATATGACAAAAATTTCTCCAAACTAAAGCATGAAATTAGATTCACCAGAGAACTGGGAATTGCACATGAACAAAAGAATATACATCATGCCATTTGTGATTTTGAAAGAAAAAAAGAATAAATTCTTCAGGTCCGCTTTAGGAGGTGGAGGCTCTTGATAGAAGATTGGCATTGGAGTCGTTTTAAAAGTCAGTTTCTTCCTGAACATCCTAATGTCAGCTTCTAGAGTTTCATGTAAAAGAACAGACAACATTCATAATAAGAAAATCTCTATCTGCAATCGCAGAAATCCCTCGAGTTTCAGGAAGCAAATGGAAAACGAAATGCTTTTCCATCCCCTACCCATACCCATACCTCCCTTACCCGTTCCCTTTACCCTCGCAGAAAATCCTCCCATCTCTCTCTCTCACCCTTGTCCCATCTCTCTGTTTGCAAATTGCAGAAAAGAAACCCTAAACAAATCCCTGAAATCCCTCGACTAAATCCTCCCACATTTCTCTTGGAGACCCCCCCCTCTCTCTCTCTCCCTCTCTCTCTCTGCAAACCCTAAACCAAATCTCCTAAATCCTATCTCAGACACCCCACATACAGCCAAGAAGCCAAGATATTAAAGCAAGCTCTACATAATACTTTGGAACAATGAAGCAAAATGGTACTTATTTGTTCCTTGTCCAAAACCGTTGGTGCCACCGCACATTGTTATCAATTGTGGGTTTATCAAATCCTTCATGGCTTAGACTGCAAGAAGAATTAGAAACTAAAAGATGAATATATGCTGTAAATCATTATATAAATATAACTGCATTTAAAAAAAGAAGGGAATGAAAAAATTGAATTCTATTTCATCAGTATGTAACTGCATGAAAACTTACATTGAATGCAGACTCAATCAATTTCCCCAAAGTCATTGTCAACTGAAAATCAATACCACACCCATAAATACCACCATTGAATTTGGCAAAACCAAAAAACAAAATTGCAAAAATTTACTCATATAATCACAGAAAAACATGAAATTTGAGCACCCATTTGGCCAAGTTAAAGGATAAAGGCACTCACATCATCGTAGTACTCTTTGGGAAGATCTTCTAATAATGGTTCTCCCTTTTCCTTGCTCTTCCTCAGAACTGCCATAAAAACCCAGAGAAGCACACAAATTCAGAAAAGAAAAGGTCCAAAACTGCCATAAAAATTCCAGAAAGCATACAAATTTATCAGAAAGAAAAGTTCAAATTACAAAAACCAAATGATGTGAGTGAGTAGTGAGAGGTTGTGTTAGGCACCTGAAACACGTTTTGGTTTCAATTGAAAGAGCCAAAGCCTTGCATGCGAGGTAGATGACGATAGGATTCCAGAGACAACATCCACATTCCTTTTTCTTGGGTGAACTAACCAAACCATATTATGTACTAAAACGACATAAAAAATCACTCACAAACTCACAACAAAATAGAACAAAAACATTCACAAAAGATTTGGGAGTTGGGACGCTAACAAAAACATTTCTTTTCTAAACAAATACACAACCGCTAATCTGGGTTTGGTCAATTTGACTAAAACGGTGTGCTATTTTGCATCGAAATATAGTATATCGCTTAAATAAAATTAAAAAAATATATACATCGAATGCTTTTAATCTAAAGCTAGAAGTAGGAATAACTGAGTAAGTTAATGAAGGCAAAGCAGAGGGTAGGAAGCAAAACATACCAAGAGACCAGTAGGCCATCGGGCCGGTCTGCCGATGAACGCCGTGTACTGGTTGACAAAGCCCAACGGCGTCGGCCAGCAAAGAAGTAAAAGTCGAAAACACCCCCAATGACCTTGTAGGTGAGAGAAGCCCTTCTGTAGAGCACATCCATGCCATTGCTGTTGATTTGAATAGTGCGAAACTACCCTCACACTCCACACAAACCCATTAACTTACTCAGCAAAAGCCTGCCGAATCAATTCATATTTTCGGATAGTAAGCATTAAATTTAAGATTCGACAAATTGTTACTGAACATGTAAAATGTTTCAGCAGGAAACTACCGTAGTATACAGTAGCTAGTACCTACTGAAGTTGTGCATATTTTCAGTAGGCCTCCACCTAAAGATTAAGTAACAAATGCGACCAAAATAAAATTATCTGCTTCGCCTCTCACAAGGCACAAATAAGGAAGAGAGAGGGCGAAGACGCGCTCTGAAATTCAGCAATGGCGACCACGCCAGCACTGACGCTTCATCTCTCTCGCCGCGCCCGCCACTTCCCTTTCTCCTCTTCTCCTCTCCCGACTCCTCCTCTCTTTCATCGTGCTCGACTCATTCTAAGGCCGCGTGACCTTCCCTTCCGCCGCACCCGTTCCTTCTCCACCTGCAACTTTTCCCGCCGATTCTCTGTCTCCGCCTCTACCACTCCAGGTACGGCTCCAATGAGTTTGTGCTTCTCTCTCTTTGTCAGTCAGTGATTTTGTCGAACATGTCCCGTGCATTTCAGCAATTGAAATGTTGGCCAAACTGGATATTTTACTGACATTAATTTGCAAAAATAGTGTCTTTATGCTGTTAACGGTGTCTTCATTTGGTTGAACACTATTATGTGATATGCTCTCTCTGTTTGTAAAGCAAAATAATCTGGTTGGAGTATCTTCTAATGGGCTCCTAACAAAATTTAGAAAGGAGTTGGAAAAATTCATCTTCAATCACACTCGGTGCTCCTAGAATAGCAAAGCTGCTAGGAGCTCCTAAAATTATTAAAATAGCAAACTTGCTATTTTAATAATTTTTGTTCGTTCATAGTCATCGTTACTCTCTGGATTAGAGACTATGGTTGGAGTGAGTTGTATAGGGAGCTCCGAAGATAGTTTTTGTATTCTTTTTAGTTCAAGTTTGACTTGAAGAGTAGCGTGAGAAGGAAATACCCCATTTCATAGTGCCTGCCTGCCTAGGGAACGCAAGTTTGATCTAGAATTGGATAAGAGAGGTGGAAAAAAATGCTCGGAAACGCCTTCATCCCACATTTGAAAAAAATATCTTGCGAGAGTGTATGAGCTCTTCGGCTCCCTTCCCTTACAAAGATGATTTTGTAGGGGCAAGTTCTATTCAAACCAAATTTGCTCACAAGCTTTTCAAACACTGCCCTCACTCTTCTCTGGGGCAAATATAACTGCAACAAAACCACTGAGGGCTTACCAGCTTGGACTGCCTAATCCAGACAAGCTGGTGATGTCATATCAAAATCCTGCATTTACAGTACCTGAAAGCCTTTAATTTAAATTTCAACAAATAACCAGTAGGATGCTTGAACAAATAGCATGGGGTCGATTTGGAACAAATGATTCTCCTGAATTTGTATCTGTATGAACAAATAGCATGACGTGGTGTTTCTTTTGCCTCTGTTTTTTTATCTTCTGCCCTTGTAGAAGTAATATATATATTTGTTTTTTGGAACCCACAACATGTGTTTGGGACCTACCCAATTTGGAATAGTATTATGGCTCGTTTACTAAATCAATAATCGGAAGAATGGAATTGAGGAGGAGTTGGAATGGGGTAGAGTCACACTCAGATTCCTATTAAAGGTGTTTACTCAAATTTTCTGGATCAGAGTAGGAATAGTACTGATTCCATATAAGTTGCTTACTAATTCCCCTTAGTCGGAATGAAACCACTGTGATCACTAAAATCCCCTTATTCTAAATAAATTATTGTATATGATATTTAGTAGAAAAAAATTAATTGCCTTTCTTCACCAATGTTAAAACACAATAAACCCATATATTTATTTTTTCAACATTATTGTACTTTTTAAGAGTAAAACCCAAAAAATTCTAATAATTTTTCATATATTTTTTGAATTAAAGTGTCATTATTATTAGTATATTTATTTTGAACAAAAATAATAAATATTCTTTTTGTTCCAATCTCTTAGCCTTGAACAAATAGCATGAGGTGGTATTTTTTAACATGTATGAGTTTTCCATTGGCCTTTTTTAAGTTTACCATTCACAAATTTAGGAATTGACGAATACTAATGGTGAAATTTAATCACTATATTGTTCACCATTTCACAGGTCTAAGTGATGATGGGATACATGATGAAAGATATGATGCCATTGTGGTCGGAGGAGGACATGCAGGCTGTGAAGCTGCCCTAGCATCTGCTCATTTAGGGGCGAAAACTCTTCTACTCACCCTAAATATTGATAGAATTGCTTGGCAGGTTTAATTCTGCCTTTTCTTGATAACCTCATATTTTTCCTATTGTATTTAGAAGTTTTGTTATATTTCTCAAAATTAGATATGTGAAATTAGTTTTCAATTTGAATTTCAACTCATAATTCCTCTAAAGGAGCAGTAAAAAAAAAATAATGATTTACACTAGAAAGTTCAGCAGGTTTTTTTGTTTTTGGTCCGATTGAAAGTTAACCCAATGAGATGTAGTATCTGGAATACATATGGCAAAACAAACAAACTGGGAGGCAGCATTCTAACTTATTTATTCAATTATCCTGCAATTCCTCATCTTTAGATTTGATATTGTGTTCTCTCTCTTTCTCTCTCACACACATACACACAAATAGAGGTGCAGTCATGTTACTGCATGCAAAATTGCTTAGTTCTTTAGAATCATGACACAGATAATTTAAAGCGCATCTTAATGAAAGATGTCCGATGCAGCCCTGCAACCCAGCAGTTGGTGGACCAGCAAAGTCTCAACTTGTACACGAAGTGGATGCCCTTGGTGGTGAAATTGGGAAGATTTCTGATCGGTAAAGCGATAAAATCTCCTATATTTGCATGTTCCCTTCTAAGAAGCTTGAGGGTATACCTGTGGGCCTGTGGCTTGCCATTGGTTTTGTTTTGGACGAGCATATTTAGAACTGACATTTCAAGAACTTAGTATGTTTTGGTGTGGGTTTGGTGTATTTACATGCAAGAATTAGAGACAGTCAAAATGACACTCTCATTAAGAAGGATTGCATAAAATGCTCAGGTACAAAAGTAAAGTGATTGTATTGGTTTAAGTAATTATGTATTGCAAGCCCTTAATGTAGAAATGAAAAGAACAAAAACAAAAAAAAAATCTGAATTTTAGGTGACTGTGCCTATAATTCGTAAATAATTTTTTGAGATGGGATCATGGGAGTATGATCATAAAATACTGATAGTCTACAGATGGCTGGGTAAGTTTTGCCTTTATTTTTTCTCTCTGGGAAAGCGTTTTGGGAGCTATAATGTTGTGAAAGGTCCATTTCCACATGGGTTAGTGGAGAAGCTAATAATTTTAGATACTATCTTGGTTCTCATCTCCTATAATTTTTTTTTTTTTTGTTTTTCTTTGTGGACAAAAAGAAGTTGTTTCAGATACTCTGCCATTGGGTGAGCTGGCCCTTAAGCTCTAGGGCATTTCGACATACCCTAATTAGGGTAGTTAAAACATAATATATTCTGATAATGGTAAAATATTAACAACATGAAAATTCAATACATATTTGTTAGGTTCCTGCCAATTTTTTTTTCTGGCCCAGCTTTTTCAGATAATTTGTAATTCTTTCTGCTCATGCTTTTGCTTTTTAAGTGTTCTAGTTTTTGTTGGTTTTTACCATTTCATCTTTAAAGTCCCCCATTTTCACCTTCACTCTCTGCAACTGTTAGTGATTTTCAATTTTTATGCTTAGGTGCTATTTACAGAAGCGTGTACTCAATGCCTCAAGGGGCCCTGCTGTTCGGGCATTGCGTGCACAGACTGATAAACGGGAATATGCCATGGAAATGAGAAAAATAGTAGAGAGGCAAGTATTACTTTATCTTTCTGCATGATTCTTTTACTGTCATTTTAGTGACAGTGGTGTGGTTTGGTTTATTTTCCTCTCTTTTTTTAACCTTTTCTTTCCACATAGATGATCATGAAATTCATACGTGGCTGACTTTATCCAATCTTTATACTTTAATAACAACCACTTCATGGTCTGGCTCTTAGGATGTGTTGCTATTTCTGAATCATGATTGCTTGAATTGGAGTATGGTTTTATTTTTTGAATTATCGCAGTTTGAAATGTAATAGCTTTTCCCTGTAAATGCATGCTTTAGTATCAAATATATCCACTTCTTTTTTGTTTCTAGGTTGAATTACGAAAATATGCTATTATTTTGGCTGTGCAATCCAGCATTAGAAAGTATTTATGATTATAGTGATGCTGTTGTCAGCATTTGCCCCAGTACGGCAAACACACATTTCTCTCCTTCTGAGATGTCTCCTTCAGTACAGCCAACTGATGCAGCCAAATATTAGAAGCAATTGGATAAAAGTTGTAAAAGCAGCTGAATTGTGTACATGAAATTAACTTTTTTGGGATAAAAATATTGCTCAATTTTAGGCTATGGGAAACGAACGAAATCCCAAAATGAAAAAGAAGTAATGTGATATAAAAATAAAAATAAAAATAAAAAAATAAAAAAAAATAAAAAACTAGATGGAAAACGTTCTAATGAGGACCTAAATTAGGGAGCTACGTTAAGGGCTTGCATTTCAGATGTGAGGTTAGATATAAATGACTGCATATGCATAATGAGTGAGAGTGAGTGAGATGCATCTTCATGTCTGATCTCAGGGGTTATATTGAAGCTTTCGTCTAAATCTTTGTCAGATTACTACTGGTTATATGAGTATGCATTTGATATGTTTCTATATTTTTATGCATTTGGTATGGACATGAATTAGCTTTGAAAATGACGTAACTTAGCATGATTCTTGACAGGTTAAAAGTTCAATTTGGTGTGAATTTTGATGTTAAACTCGTGTTAAGGATTTCTGTTCCCATGCATTCCATGTGGCTGACTGAATGACATCGTACTAGATTCTTTCATTTATAAAATGAAATAAAACTATACGGTTGGACCTGGCATGTTAAATGATATCACTCTTAAAAAAAGAAAGAAGAGAAATGAATAAGAAAGGAAAAGAAAGACAT